ATTTAAGGTACAATAATTTTGTTCCATTAAGTGAACGTACTAATATTGTAAAGTTACTGTTTTAAATCTTTAACCATTCCTTTAAGTGAAAACAATTCAATCAAAGCCAGTACGCTGCAGGAACTAGTTGCATCTCAGGTCTCGGCTCACCGAGTCTCAGGAAACCACAGAAGTGATGAATTTGACTGAGAACATGATGTTTTTCCAGTGTGCTGAGAATCAATATGGCAGTTGTTTTTGCGTTCAAAAGATGAAAACATGCAATTTGTTGGACTGCATCTTTAGAGGCTGGTCTTTTTGTAAAGTTTGTTCAAAATTGTCCTAAATTGTGAAAGCTCAACTGAAGAGCTCAGCTGCAACTTGACTGTGAAAAGGAGAAGTGATTCAAATGCCAGCTGGTTTGGGGACAGATGCAGCCAGAATTAAATTAGAATTTTGTCAACGAAAGTTTGTTGCTTGTGAAGGTCGAGGCTTTGTCTGTTTTGAAACAGTCAATGTTCTTGGCCGGAAGCATATGCAAAATAAAGACCACCACAACAGATTATATAAATAGTATAAAGGGGTGTCATAGTTGATAACATTGACCATCAGAACTAGTTGGCATTTGTAATCAATAGACATATAATTTTGATTAGTGATGCACCGATGTGAAATTTTGGGGCAGATACCGATATCCGATGTTAATATCACTGTTATAGCCAATAACCAATATTTGCTGATACCGATATGCTGACAGTCATAATACCGATAATGCTTCTAAAATCAGCAGATTTTGTGTTAGAGCTATAGCGAAGCGTCAATGACGTAGACAGCTCGATTCTATAAATTTGTCGACGTCAGATCCGGTAGTCGACGCAACACGCCCACTTGTTGCATCCCCAGGAGTTTGTAAATAGAGGAGGAACCTGCAAGTTTTTCCTCCTCTAGTTCGCCCTCTTCTCCACCTTCACTAACATCTCCGCCAAATACCGAAAACCCGGAACAATGTCCGTGCGCTACTAGATTCCTTTCCTGTTTTGTCCATGTTTGTCTCCTGGCAATGGATAACAACTTCACTGCTTCGTCTCTACTGCAGATGTAGAGAAATCACCGGGAGCGTTTCTCCCTTCATAAAGGAGCTTCTTTTAGACATTACGAGAGCTGTTTTTGGCGGTAGCAGTCTCTCCTCTGTGCTGGTCTGTTTGCTGGGTGTTTTTGGTTTATTTAAACTTGGTAACTTGAACTTAACGTTGGTAAAGCTACTGTTAGCATCTTTGCTAACAGCTTCTTGCGTTTGGATAAGCTGTTACGTTTTGGTTTAGAGTTCATCTTTTTTGTGGTGTAGATCTCCCTTTTATTACATTTAGAGTGTTGTGGGTTTTTGGTTTAGTTTAAAATATCACCTTGAGTTTGGTTTAACCACCGAGTTTAGAGTTTGGACCTTTGGAGATCCTTATTTTGGTCCAGAACTCAGTAATATTTGCCCAGTGAGACATTCCTAGTTATTTGCTGATATTGACCTTGGCCCATTGACCCCTATGAAAAGAAAATGGTCAGTAATTTGGGGATAAAAATTGACTCCTCCTTAATCTTGACACTCACGTAAATACAGTGGTGAGGTCCTGTTTTTTTAATCTGAAACGACTATCCAGGATCAGGCCTCTGCTGTCCAGAGCTCATCTGAAGTCTGTGTTGCATGCTTTCGTCCTGTCCTGTCTGGACTACTGTAACGCTCTGTATGCCGGTCTGGCCCAGTGCACGGTTGCACAGCTCCAATTTGTACAGAACTCAGCGGCTAGGTTCCTGACAGGTACTAGATGTCGAGATCACATTACTCCAGTGCTGACTACTCTGCACTGGCTCCCGGTGCAATATCGAGCTAAATTTAAGATCTTAACTCTTGTTTATAAGGCCCTCCAGGGCAGTGCCCCCTCTTACATTACTGCACTTTTGCACAAGTATGTTCCATCTCGGTCTCTTCGCTCAGCCGAGGAGGGACGTCTGGTGGTCCCCCGGTCGAAATATCGATCGAGGGGTTATCGTGCATTTTCTGTTTTGGCTCCAACTCTGTGGAATGAATTGCCATTGAGCATTAGGCAGGCGCCGTCCCTTCAAGTCTTTAAGTCTCATCTAAAGACTCATTTTCATTTGATTGCTTTTCAGCGAAAGGGTTCATTGAATTGCCCTGACATTATGATTTTTAATACTTCTTCTTTTTGATCAGGATGCTTGATCTTATTTTGTCCACCATTTGTTTTTAATTGATTAGTCTCATTCCATTACCTCTCTGTATTTGTAATATTGCTTGCTTATTTTATGATTTTATGTTTTTATCTTGCTTTTATGCCCAGGTACTGGGAATGTCTTTATGATGCTGTTCAGCACCTTGGGCTGCTGATAACCTTGCGGAAGGTGCTCTACAAATAAAATTGATTGATAGATTAATTTGTACTTTTGTTATAATTCCCCACAGGCAGAATTAGTTTTATTATTCCCAACCTGTGGATGGAAAGATGTGTTTGTTGTTGTTGTAAATAAATCTGATCATCGTTTAAACTTTTAAATCCCGTGTTATTGTCCCTTCCTTTTTGCACACGAGTCCAACTCCCCAGGAAGGGTTGTAACACCACTCGCCTCACGCACATAAGTGACCAAAACAAAGCAGCATGGAGACACTCCGTCTCCAACCACCTCTCAGGCAGCAGCCTGCACTCCCGTGTTTTACATGTTACCAGAACATAACCAATAAAAGCAGTGTTATACAAAGTGGAAGGCCTGTAGTGTTTATTCTCTTACAATTGATCACTTTTTTTGAGGAATTTATTTGAGATTTTCTGGTTTTTATTAATTGTGCAATAGAAAAATAACAATAATTAGATTAATCGTCTAAATAGTCATTAGAATAGTCAACTATTCGATAAAATAATCGTCAGAATAATCGTTTTAAAACTAATCGTTTACCCCAGCCCTAGATGATGATGATGATGATGATGGAAGCATGGTATGCACCTCTACTGGCTTTTGACTCAATAACTTAAAGCTGAGACAATTGGAGGCACATTGTTACTACATTTTGATCGTTTGACAGCAATTTTCATGGTTTAAAATGATTAAACACACTTTAAGACCAAGACAAACTGATAAAATACTGCTATCTTCATGGTTTTATCACCTTAAGGTGAGTCAGGTTTTGTCCACGCCAGCTCCCTGTTGACTTAAGCTGTGTGAGTTTTACGACTGCTGACATGGCAAGTGATGATTCATCAGAGGCCTGAAGGGCTGGAAACGGGACGCGGTTTTGTTTTTTTAATAGATTTGACGACTTTTTGTCAGAGAACTAAATGAAATTTGAGCATCTTCAGTGGCTCTATTCAGTTGTTTTGCTGTCGGACTCTGACGCCCTGTCATTCTTCAGATTTAACAAATCGACCAACAAGTCATTTGGAAGATCTAAACACGCCATGATCTAACTTCAGCGTAAATAAAACCCGACCACACCTGTTGTGACGTTGCTCTGTAATTACTGCTGTATCGCTACTGTAATGCAGCACCAGTCATGATGAGTACTAGTGATGCGTTCAGGTAATCATTGACTTCAGGGTACAATGCCAAACAGACGTCATGCAAGGGCTGGACGATATAGAAAAAAGTATATAGATATAATTTTTTAAAAATATTGATCGATATTGATAATTATTGAAAAATATTTTCAAAATTGTAGAAAATATTTTACGTGCACCCCTGGCCATTTTAATTTTGGTATTTTGGTTTATTTCTCCACCTCTTGTCGCTGCGACATCTTTAGGCCTGCCTCAAACGACTACTTTAATAGTCGACTAATCGTGTCATTCATAAAAGTTTAGCTTTTTGCACCAAGATGCTCTAATATACCATCATTAGCTTCTAGTCTGAAGTGTGATCAGTTATGTGCCATCTAATAATAAAGACGACAAGTTGATAGCTTATCAAACAACTTTAATGAACTTTGTAACCTGTTAATACAAATGCTACAGTCAGATGGAGGAAGGCACCTAAAACCTAAAATGACTTGTGTTCACTAGAGGCATGGTGGCAAGGTTGAAGCACTTCATCTTCCAATCATAACTCAGTAGCAGGACACACCAAGGTACGTGTCTGTAGCACGGCTGGTCCACACGTCAGCAGTCAGGGACCATCGACAGCTCTGAGGGTCTGCTTTACCGTAAAGATAAAATATATTAAAGTTAGTTTATTTACCAGATTCATAATTCTGTTATATCACATAAAGTAGGTTAAGTTTTAACACAAAGAAAATGTTTTATGCTTAAAAAATATTAGTTTCTTGATTCCTCAGTCAGCAGCCTTTTTATTTAATCATAAAATGCATTTTATTCTAATGTTTATTTTATGTGTCCAGAGAGAAGAAGAAGAAAAAAATATAATTTCTAAAGCGCCTGTCAAGATAAAAATTACGAGGCGCTTCACAAAAGCAAAAAATTAAAAAATTTAAAAAAGAATTTAGAAAATGGTTAAAAATATCTTTAAAATGAGCAAAAAATAGACAATGGTGATTAAAAAATGTTAAGAAAGAGAGAGAGTGGACAGGAAAGAGGAAATCAGTGGATCCTGAGGAAGGTGGAATAGGTGGGGAGCAGAATAAAGAGAGAGTGGTGAAGAAGTCATACAAAAGCCAGCTTGAACAAGTGAGTCGTCAGCTGCTTTTTAAAGGAGACCACTGAGTCCACTGATCTCAGGCTCAGGGGGAGAGAGGTCCAGAGTCTGGGGGCCACAGCAGCAAATGATCTGTCACCTTTGGTCTTTAGCCTGGTGCTGCACAACCAGTAGGCTTTGATCACTGGACCTCAGGGATCTGCTGGGGGTGTAGGGACTAAGAAGATCACCAATGTAAGATGGTGCTTGTCCATGTAAGGCCCTATAGACCAGAACCAGGATCTTGAAATGAACCCTGAAGTTGCCTGGCAACCAGTGAAGCTGGAGAAGCGGGGTGATGTGAAAGAGAAACAGAGAAGACACACACACACACACGCACACACACACACACACACACACACACACACACACACACACACACACACACACACACACACACACACACACACACACACACACACACACACACACACCTTAATGTTGTTTAATTCTTCTTTTCCATCATGTTGAACTGGGATCAGCCTGATAGATGGTTGTTGTCATATATATGTCTGTAACCTCCACTGTAACGTAGCGGGATGAAATAAATCATTAGTGTTTATAATTAGAGCAAAAATACGTGACACACAAACGTGTTCTTAAGGTAATAAAGTAATCATCTCTACTGGTGTTGCTACAGCTATAAATACAAGTACCGTATTTTCACGACCATAAGGCGCACCTAAAAGTCTTAAATTTTCTCCAAAATGTACGCCGCGCCCTATGGTGCGGTGCGCCTATTGTGTTGTTGTGAGACGCGAACGTAGTAGAAGACAAGGGGCGTGGCGTGAACGTGCGGACGTGAGCGAAGACAGACCTGTGGATCTGCCACATCGCCATCAACATCCTCGCTATTTGCCTCAGACTCCGGCTGTGAGTCTCCGTCCACTTGCTCTGCTTCCAGTTCAAAAAACAGCCGTACGGTCTGAACTGCCTGGTGGACATTTATCCTTCTCATCATACTTTATATAAGCCTAATAAAAGCCTACTAAACTGCAGCGACAATATATCTGTCCGGATCGCTCCAAAATATGAAGTTTACCGCCAATATCTGTCTAATTGTTTGCTGTTACTCCGTTCGCGCCACTCCTTTCCCCACGAAGCGGCTCCTTTTTGCGCACATCTCGTTACTCTTGCAGCCTTCCTCTCTCTCTCAGCTACATAATGATACTTTTTATCAATTGAATATGTGAGACTTCCACCAACAGCAAAAGGATCTCATGTTTTTGTGGGTTTTTTATGTTCACAAGCACATTCCCTCTCACAGATTACTAAACTGCTGTTTTAACAAGTTATCAGATTGTCTATAAATAGGTCCTTTTATAGTTGAGTATAACTCCGCTTTTACGTTGCCTATTAACAAAATTTAAAAACTGGGGTGTAGTTTATAATCTCCTTTTTAAAGCTGAACTGAAACCAAAACTCAGAGAGGCGGAGTCTTGCTGCTACAGCGTCCCAAATCAGACCTGTTCTAAAGACGCAGACCAGTCCATGGACACCAGAGGGTTAATAAACACAATTCAAATCACACTATTTTCTTAGGCCCATTAATAACACACGTATGATTTTGTTCATGTGGAACGTTTATGTGGTTAAATCCACCAACTACCGGTAAACACATTCTGAATTTAGCGCATCAGCGCTAGAAGCGGCGCTGCGAGCAGCTGCGACCCAAAAAGTACCAGAACCGCTCACGGCGCATGCGCAATCATGCATCAACACCGCTCGCCCGCTATTTCCCTAATAACACACGCTGTTCTTTTTTATTTCTACATGTTTTTTACTCACGAAGATTGTCGTGTTCTTGTCAAATTAAACTGATCACAAAACACAGATTTACTTTCTTTATTTCGTTTTCCTCATCCAACCCCCATAAATCCCTGTGTGTCCTCCTGCAGCACTCCCAGTGTACGCCCGGCGAGGGAGACCCGCGATTATCGCTTTGTCGCGCATGTCTCATTGAAAATGAATGGAGGAGAGGCGAAGTTGCCTCCCGTGTGTCGAGCCCATTCAGCGCACGCAATGAGGAAGTGCACGTGCGCTCTAAACCAGGTCTGAACCAGGACTAGAGCAGTAAAGTGAAGCATGCTTTCGGCTGTTTATAATTTTCACAATGTCTGGTTTGCACTGATATGTTCCGAGTCCCGAGCCCGCACAGATGTTTTACCGGTACGTTTTACCGTGCCCGCGCCCTATAACCCAGTGCGCCTTTTGTATGTGTTAAATACCAAAAAGACACCCGTAACTGAAGCTGCGCCCTATTACACGGTGCGCCCTGTGGTCGTGAAAATTCTGTATTTCTGTTGATGTTAGCAGCTAACAAGAGGTAAACTTACCGAGGTGACTCTTTGTTCTTCCTGTTAAGATGCTCGTGCTTCGCCGATGTGCTCCCGTTAAAGGAGAGTTTCGCTTTGCAGTAGTGATGTGACGTTCATGAACAAATCTAATCTTTTGAACGGGGTTTCAAAGTGAACGATGAGAGCCGAGTCCCTGTAGAGATCCGTTCATCTTGTCTTCCGGTAACAAACCTCCCCGGGAGTCGGTGAAGCGCGCCCGCTCAGACCCCCACCCACCGCTGTGACGGATGTAAGAAGAACCGTAACCAACCCCGTGTGCCCTCACGGACACCGCGGGAACACGTTGCTCTTATTTCTGCCACATGATAGGTTATTATAAAAAAAGGAAACTTTTTTTCATCGAAGTTTTATCGACCCGTTGTTTTCTCTATCGCACCACATGTCTATCGATAGAATAATTGAACTACTGAATTATCGTCCAGCCCTACGTCATGCCAACCCGGAGAAACTTGGATCATGTTTAGTTGTGCACGCCATCACGGATCTTGTGACTGATGAGCGATGATCCAAGGAACATCAGAGGAGTAGAGAGGTTATTACCTTGATCTGTCCTCTGAGCTGCAGATGGATCTAGGGCAGAGTCTAATTTAAGGATTCACTCTGACACAGATATAAGTTTGGCCTCATCCCAGTTATTCGGCGCCTCCATGGACGGCTGGGAGTTTACGCTCTGGTTATGACATTTGGCTAAATCCAACATAAGAGCTCTGCTCTACACACTGGTCGTTTCATTATTGTGTTTATTTATTATTATTTTTAATTGATTTCAGATATAAGGATTTATAAAAATCGATCCAGACTTATGCAGTGGAACTAGGCTTTGAAGCATGAAGCGAAGTTTTCCTAATCTCTGGTTCTATATTTAGATTGGTGGATGACGTAATGCAGTCAACAAAACACAGACATGCTGTGTGTGTTGCGTGCTTGCATGGAGGATGGGTGGTGTGTGTGTATGTGTGTGTGTGATTCCTGCGTGAATCCTGTCGATGTGTGAAATCCTGCAGCTCATCCAGAGGAAAATCTGAATCTGAAGCTAGAAAAAGAGCCAAAGCAGGATGAGTTTTGTTCTTTTTCATTTTCACTTTAAAGTTTGAACTTTAAGCTAGAGCTTTAACATTGATATCAGCAGGGCTGGGATGATAATCAGTAAATCAATTAATCGTATGATAAATGAAAATTCAATAATTTTTCCAGCCTCGATATATCTGTCTTTGTCAGACACGTGACCTGCACGTCAACCACACCCCCTTAGCGCCATTTTAGGTGTATGACTTGCGTTGCTAGGGGAAGCTGCAGCTGAAGTTGCAGCAGAACAAGAGTCAATAGGATGGATAAAAAAAAACAAGGATGAACATATCCGTTACAGGAATAAACATCTGAAGGAGGCTAGAGATCTGCATTTTCAGAAATTGTCTACAATCAGTAACGTAGATCTCTATGACCTCAAAGGGAACAAACAGAGCTCAGGCATTTCATTACTGACGAAAATATATCACTTGAGTAAGTTAAAGGATTAATTGTTGCATTTTAAAGGGTGTACTTGCATTATTGTGATATAATAACATTACATAAGTGGTTATTTTGCTCTCAAATATTTTGGTCAGGGGAGTTTACGGTTAACCGCTTATTAACCATTTAATAGCTTCAATTACTGGTTTAACACATTTTGGAAAATTTGCATCCCTACTGCTGACCAATAAACACACTTGAATTTTGTGGAATGGACAGGTGCCCTATAGGGGGCGCACTTTACCTGCTTTACAGCTGTTAGCTGTAATGCTAGTAGTTAGCATTTTCAATTCGCCTATCGTCAATAAAAAGCGCAAGAATAAGACAAAGTTGGCTTTTTTGTCGGCATGGTGGAGCCTGGAAGCAAACGTAATAGTAATGTCTTTAATTGGTGAAGCAATAAGCTAAAACCACACTACCTACACTAGTTTGAGGGAGCTAAAAGAGGCTACAAAATCACGGGCTGATGGTGACCTGTCTTTGTTACTACTTGACCACGTTACTACTAGGGAGTCATAATATTTTTGTCCAGCAGTTTGGATCTTTTTACTTTGTGGCTTATTTTAGTATTAGTTGGCTCTTGTTAGTGTTAGCTTGTTGTTAGAGCTAGCTACAGCAGGCTGTTTACGACAATTGTAATTCCACTTTGAACCAGTAGGGCAGAGGAGCAGGAAACTGCTTTCAGTTGCTGATGATGCTTTTTTAGAAAACGGTTGGACTTACGTTGTTTCTTTTTTGTTTGTTGTTTGTGCAAAAACATGAGAACTAAGGCTGGACAATAGTTCAATAACGATGGAAAGAAAAATGGTTCAATAAAAGTTTCCTTTCTTCTTTCATTCTAGCCTATGTGGTAGCTTCATACTAAATTCATTACTTACTCCCAACCAATCAAAAACACAAACCCAGACTTAAACAAGCTCTTGCAGCAAGGAGAGGTGGAGGAAATACTTCCAAATAACGATTACGGTAGTTCACCATCATAGCAGTATTTTAATTATTACAAGTCTGACAAGAAACATACATTGTTTTGCATTATTTGCAAATAAAGCCAAGTTTGTTAACAAATTAGCTTGTTTTATCATAAGTACATGAGTACAGATATACAATGGCCAAGGTTGCAGTTAAAAATATTTTCTACATTTTTCATAATTATCAATAATTATTGACATCGATCGAAGTGAATTTTTTTTATCGACATATGCTTTTTTTTCTCTATATGGTCCAACCTTAATGAGAACCGGTCTACTGGTTTGTAGGAGGATACTTTCAATTCAAATTATGTAGCAGGGTTGTTTTTGTTATCCTGGCTCAGCCTCCGTAGAGAAGCATAACAAGCAAGAAAGCTCTCTGAGATGGACTTTTGGATGTGTTTCAATTAAATTTGTAATCTATGATTTATCCCAACCAAGAAAAGGTCCTGCCGTAACATCTTTTATTTATTTTTAATCTCTCAAACTGAATAAAATTATGAAGTTAGCCTTCGGATATGTTTTAAAAACATTGTATGTGTACTTACAAATTTTCAGACTTTTGATGCTTTTTTTTTCCAAGGTCATGGTTTACTCTACATTTTCCTCCAGAAGAAATTATTTGGGTTGTTATCCACGTTGCAGGGCCCTTTCAGTCGGGTCTGGCATGGTACCCTTTAGCTCTGATCCCTGCTGTCTGTGGCGTAGCAAATCTCCAAGCTGGCTGTTTTCACTGCAGGGAGAAGTTGGCAGGGTGTGAAAAGGAGGCCATCTGACCCCTGTACCTGCTTTCCTTCCATTATGAGTTTCCACTGAAGCCAGGATCACATTAATTTCATAAACTAGCTCAACATCTTTGGAAAAGTACAGGTTATTTTGGTTATTGAGTATAAAGAAATATGTCATTTCATAAATTACAATCCATTTTTGATCTGCGGCCATATTATGTTAAATGTGGTAAAATTGTTGCTCAGTAATGGAGAAATTAATAATCTGAATTATTTTGGTAAATGGTGAAATTGCAATTCTAGAAAACAGGATTACTCAGTGAGGTGGGACACACTCTCCAGAGTTCACATTTTAAAGAAGCTGTAGATACCGATTTATGTCAGCAGGTGGCAGAGTTGAGAAATTTAGTGTTGACCTGAATTGTGGCTCAATCCCAATACTTGCACTTCCACCCTTGCGCTCTTCAATTGTGCGATCCCGGCCAGGGGTGGGAGTGCGTAAAAGCTGCGGCACACCAGAGGCAGATACGCCGCACTGCGGAAAAGCTGCAGATACACCACGGTTTAGAGAAGTCAAGTGGTGACACAGGATGCGCCACTGAGCGCTTCTTGGAAAGTCACGTGATAGTCACAACATCACGTGAGACTTGAGAGCAGGAAGTGCGACGTGACTCTTGTTTATACATTATCAGACATGCCGTCGTGTTTTGTGAGACTCCAATTCATCAAAAATGGGATAGCATGCTATTTATTAGAATATTTTAAGATCAATAGTACTTCAAAGTAGGGCTGCAACGATTCGTCGAAGTTGTCGACAAATATCGACATTAGTCGACAATGAATTTCATTGTTGACGTTGTCGCCAGACGTGTTTTTTCTGACCGAGTGAGGCATCTCACTTCATTACAATCTCTGCCGAGAGTCACACATGTGCAATAGCTTCTCTGCTGAGCGTCAACTAACAGAAATGGCGGCGTCCAACACAGCAGCTACGCGTACCAAAACATCTCAAGTTTGGGAGCGTTCTAGCCTGGATTTGGCGAATAAAAAGATGACCTGCATTATTTGCAAAGCAGTCCTTGCGTATCACGGCAGCGCCTCGAAGATGCATGAACAGTTAACGAGAAAGCACTTCGGACAGTTGAATGAAACGGTCTGACTCACCTCTGTAAGATTTAAATAACACGAAAGCCAATACGTTTTGTTTTGGATGTACGTTTTTTTTAACGTATTTCCGCTTTTAAAAAAGAGAGATTTAATGTTATGCCCGACTGTGCCTGACAAAAGTATTTTAATTTTATTTATGCATTGATGTCTATACTGACTGAGAACTGTGCGTAATTGGTGTTAGGCGGCATTTTTATTTACTTTTAGTATGAATTGGCCTATCAGCAGCAAAGTTCAATAAAATATGCATTTTCCATTGAAGTACCCATCTTTCTTGTGTTTATTATCATTTTTCACATAATTAAAGCAATCTCATGCTAAATTTAAGAAAAATGTAATAATTATCCGATTAGTCGACTATTCGTTTCAATAGTCGGTGACTAGTCGACTATTAAAATAGTCGTTAGTTGCAACCCTACATTAAAGTTATCAGAACTGTGGTTGAGTTTGTGCCATAAAGCCGTTCCGCGTCGTAATGTCTGTTGTAAACTGTACTCTACAATGTTGTAAACCGCGCCGCAGTGCTTGAAATAGAATTGGCACCCATCTTCAGCGCCTCAGAGTGGCGCTTCTGGGACGTGGCGCAGCTCTCCGCGTGTAGCCACTCTCATTAACAGTAATGGCTTCTATTTACAACGATGGCGTGGAAGCTGCGTGGGCGCGTCCATCTCCGGTGTGCCCTAGGCTTAAGGTGTCCCGATTCTCAAGTGCGGAAGTTGACCACACCCCTTTTGCACCCTTGATCCACACTTCACCCAAGTCTGCATCTATGTGGACTTCGTTGACGGGTGTAGAGAGATTGGAGGGTTAAATTATGACCAATAAAATGTGATGATTCTATATAGAGATAGAATATCAACCTGATTGATCATTGAACGTTTAACCAGAAGAATTTAGGATTCTTTGCTTATTCAGGGACCATAACACACTTTGTATTAATTCAGACAGAGTCAAGTATATGATTGAACATAATCTTTATTTTCTAGACTAAATACATGAAAAGCTATAATGATATGTGATGGAATGGTGTTGTGTGAAGTAGTAATTACTCACAATCCTTTTCTGCAGGAGCAAAGGCTGAAGCGCCTTTTTTGAAAATATGCATTTTCAATTCAAATTGTTCAATTTAGGATGATTAATTTATAATCTTAATGATTTAGACAAAGATTTAATGTGGACGGCAATTGATGTAAAATTTGTCAAACAACTGTTTGGTTGTTTGTTTGAAAGTTGGTAATAAAAAGGGGCACAGTGCAAGTATTGGGATCGTGCCATCGTCTGCCATAAAAATGCTCAGCATCTGGCCTTTCTAGAATAAAAAAATCTTATGAACTATTTTGTGAAATGTAGCCATTCATCTAAAACATGAAGATACCAGCTGATTAAGCAAAATTTTTACCTGTTTAATCGGTCATATAAATAAAACATAAGCTGGTATACAGAACTGCTATGGAAGCTCAGATGTGGACGAATGTAGTCAAAGAACTAAAGGTTTTTGAGAAATGTTGATGCCTGGAAACAAACGGTACTGCTTGGACACCTTTTAATTTTTTTGTTGATTCTTTCTTTATTTTCTTGTTTTATTCCATGATGAATCTCACACGATTGCAAAAGAACTGTGATTCCCTCCAAGCAACACAGACGCAAGTGATTTCTTTTAAGGGTTTATTGGACGTCCTTTCATTGTGGACCTCTTCTGTCCTCCTTTCCTTAGACCTCGCTTAAACCGTGAAACTAAATATACAGGATATTACAATTAAAACGTATACAATAATGTGCAACAACATAAAGACAAATAAATACCTCATTGGCTGTTTTGCTTAAACACAAAGGGAATCCATCTGTCTTCCTTTAAGTCCTTTCGTTATTTATTCCTTTGGCAATGAATTGAATCTCAGTCCGTTCTCAGCTAGCTGCTTGTCAGCACTTCATCCAGGTTCTGTCTGTTCCTCACACCTGGCTTGTATTCATCAATTAAGGGTGTGGCTGGCAGAGCAGCTCATGTAACTTTTCAAAATAAAATTACAGGAAACACAACCAACCCAGTGTCTTACAAATGGGAAAAATAAATCAATTAAGAAATAAACAGTAACAGCAGTTACAAGAACGCTTCAGTTAAAGAAACTTTCTGAACTTCTCTGCACACGTTTCTACATTTGCCCACATAATTTTCTCTCTTTGCTTTGGGGAATTCATGCACTGCAAATTTTTTGCTTAGACGAAAAATGTATTTAGCCGCAAATAAACCGCATCGACTACCATTTTTCACCCTCGAGCCACCGTCCCTTTTTTCCTGTCATTATTACAGTTGTCATAATTTATGCTCCTCTCTCTCCTTTTTGTACTAACTCTGGTGTTGTTGGGTGCTGTTTTGGTCCAATTCTCTCAATAGATCAAACAAGGGATCCTAATGATAATCTGTTTGTTTTTGCACTTTTAAACGACCATGAATGATCTCATTCCCCTGGAGGATAAAAAGTTCAATGCATTAGAGTAAAGTACTGCGCGCCAGCTTGTTAAAGCGGCACATGTGAGGCAGGTATTAGAGGAAAATTGTGAGCTCCATGTGGACTTTTAGAATAATTTTACCAGCGTCACTCTATTATCAAAAATGTATTATTTTATGGCATTTCGGGACTGAGTCGTCATCGTGTCTTGAGGCTGGAACCAGCGTTGAGTCAGACATATTCGTGCACTTGCGTCTTCTTTACTTCCTATCTGACTTCCTGTAAGGTCTATGACCTCCCAGTATGTAGAGACTTCATCCAAGACCGATACAGCCAATGAGGCTTTTGCAGGTCATGTTGCTGCAGGACAATGACTTTAATTGGGATTTGTCTGAGCAGCTGTTATGCATGCAATTGTTTAGACAAAGTCGGGGTCACATTTTTGAAGAGGACACAAAACGATTAGTCACTGATCATCTGAATGTCTCCCTACATTGAATCCCAAATATTCAAGTAGAACGGTTCTCTGATTTATCATTTTCTTTCTTTCTCAGGACGACTGAAAATGCTTGAGGCTGGAAGCTAAAGCCCTCCAACAGAGAGAGGCTCTTACCGGGCTGGGGCTGGACCCACGGCCCCCTACCTTAGGGTGGGGCGAAGGGCTCTCTAAGCCCTTCATAAGTCAGGAGCATGGGGGATGGAGGTGCCAGTGCAGCTGGAGGAGAAGGGGTGAACCTATCCCACGCGCTGTTTGACAAATTTGTTCAGGCGTCAACATGTAAAGGCACCCTCAAGGCCTTCCAGGAGCTGTGTGAACACCTGGAAGTGAAGCCTAGCGAGCACAGGATTTTCTATCACAAACTCAAGTCCAAACTTAACTACTGGAAAGCCAAGGCACTGTGGGTGAAGCTAGATAAGAGGGCCGTCCAGAAGGAATACAAGAAGGGACGTGCCTGTGCCAACACGAAGGTAAGCCTGCATCTCTGGAAACTCGATAATTCATCTAAAGCTTCAGCAGGTGGCTTGGTGGGGGCTCCTGATCCCAGTGAGAGCCAGCAGAATAAATAATGTGATCCACGTCGTCTAAGACTCATGTAATGTGAAGCTCTTGTTTACCAGCCAGACCACAGCACAAGGACAGGAGAACACAAGGACACGTGATGCTAGGAAGACACTTTGGCTTGGGCTGAATCCCGTTTCCGTACCCCTTCCCATACACACACCCAGGTTAACACTTCTTTTGCTGTCTTTATTTAGTGTCTGATCATTGGTGCGGGGCCATGCGGGCTACGTACAGCCATCGAGTTGGCTTTTCTGGGGGCCAAAGTGGTGGTTTTGGAGAAAAGAGATGCCTTCTCCAGAAACAATGTGCTACACCTCTGGCCTTTCACCATCCAAGACCTCAGGGGCCTTGGGGCCAAGAAGTTCTATGGGAAGTTCTGTGCTGGTGCTATTGACCATATCAGTAAGTACTCTAACTCTACTGTAGTTACATCGCTGCTGTTTAGTTCTCAGATTTACTTGCAGGAAGATGTTTGTCGTTGGGTTGGGTGCGTAATGGTTGTTGATGTTTTTGTATTTTTCTGTTTTTGGTACTTGTATGTGTGCGTGCGTGTAGTTACATGTGTGTGTGTGTGTGTGTGTGTGTGTGTGTGTGTGTGAGCCAAAGGTTTACTCATTGTTGGTCATTCACATGTGAGGTTATGACATGAATGCGTATATAGGTTTTATGGGTTTTACAAATGTGTAAATTGGACGTGTTTTTAGAATTTAGAGATTTTAGTGCCGGCTGCTTCACAATGCTGTCTCGAATTGCCCCTCGGGGACTAATAAAGTTGTCTTGAGTCTTGAGTTTTTGTATTTTTCTGTTTTAGGTATTCGTCAGCTACAGCTCATGCTGCTCAAAGTGGCTCTTCTGCTGGGCATTGAGATCCACGTCAACGTAGAGTTTAAGGCTCTTATTGAACCCCCTGAAGATAAAGAGAGCGAGGGTAAATGACAAAACTTCTGAAAGGGGAAAGCATATCTGGTTCATTAGAGAATTGCCTAACATGCCAGAAGCTTGGCTCTGTGGATGCATATCTGTCTGATTACATACGCTGTGTTTTCTCAGGGATAGGCTGGAGGGCTGAGGTCCACCCCAGGACACACCCTGTCAATGAACTGGAGTTTGATGTCATCATTGGAGCGGATGGAAGGAGAAACACACTACCAGGCAAGTTTGCATTGATGGGCTGGATGAAAATCATTAGCAATGCATTTTGTTTTTTTTTCCCTTGACTAAACACGGCAGAACACAAGAAACACTGTTTTTGTTCTAAGTGGACTTGAAGGTTACGCAGAATGATTATGATGTCACGCATATACAGCTGCAGACAGAACGCTGACCTCACTCTGGGCCCTCGTGCATGAATGAGCACATCTGTGTGTAAGTTTGTTTGCGGCTAGCCGCTACGCTGAACTTCAGAGTATTTGCTCCCCTGGCACCGCAGAACAGGAATTGTTGAATTGGATATCTGTTTCCTTTATGAGCACCGAGACCTCACACACTGCCACAAAGTGAACCCTGTATAGCAGAGCACCGTGATCCCTATCTATAGTACAAACTGTTTAATCCATGAAGTGAATCTTCATGCTCCCCTTGAGATATCCAGTAACTATGAAATGCATTCAAACTGTGTAAAAAATTAAAAAAAAGAAGAAGCTGGAAAGCTGTTTATGTCATCCAGATGAAGAACATCTGCTAGTGTTTAAATGCGTTCAATAGGTTTTGATATGTTCTCAAAGCAAATATCGTTGCTGACTTGTTCTGGTTTTGTGGTTCGATTGTTTACTTTCTGCCAAGGAAAACAAAGAAATGGAATCTAAGCTGCAGAAGTTCACATCCGCAGACCTCGTCACTGGTCCTGTAATCTTGTACTCTTCCTCAGGATTTCGGCGTAAGGAATTCAGAGGAAAGCTGGCCATAGCGATCACCGCCAACTTCATCAACAGGAACACAACGGCCGAGGCAAAGGTTGAGGAGATCAGTGGCGTGGCCTTCATCTTTAACCAGAAGTTCTTTCAAGATCTCAGGGAGGCGACAGGTCCGTCACAGCAGTGCCTCGCTTTGATGACACATAGGGATGGGTACCTTTGACATTTGAATCAATTCAGTACTAATTCCCGGTACCTAGGAATCGATACCTGTACTTAACGGTACCAATTTTAGATACTTTTGAATGTTTAATATTTTAATTCTCTTTTATAACTAAATATATATTTTTCTCAATATATAACCATATTTGATAAATATCACGATAAATAACATTCAACTGTTTGCATTTTAACATCGTCCTTGTAGTTTTATAAGCTGATAATTAAACTGAAGCAAACATCTTTACTGTGAACTAAATTTACTGTGTATCTTCATTCCTTTTGCCGTCTTTTTTCATTTGATTTTTCCTACTGGGAAGTTGGAATTTCCCAGGAGAAAGCGAACGCACCATTAGCTGATAACAATGGTAGCAATGGAAGCTAACATACCAAGCTAACGTTATCTTAAACAGTTTATTTAGCTGCTGGAGCAGATTAAAACGATGATGCCTCACACTTGGATCGCTGTCGCTGGTTTCATCTTCACCCAATCACCCGTCGCATTTAGTAAAGTGAAGCCAAACTTTAGAGCGCGTTCATGTTCTTCCAGTCGGGTATTCGGTGTTCCGAGGAGAAAGCGAACGCACCATTAGCGGAACGGAAGCTAACAAATCAAGCTAACGTTGTCTTGAACATTTTATTTACCTACCGGAGCAGATTAAGATGAGGATGTCTCACTTAGATCGTTGTCGCTGGTTTCATCATCACCCAGTTACCCATCACATTTAGTGAAGTGGACCCAAGCTTTAGCGTGCGTTCTTTCTACCATGCTGCTCTGTTTACAACTCGCTCGCAGCGACCGACGACATAACGCTCTTGCGCATGTCTAGGCAAGTTCTCGTTATGAAGGATGGGTACCGAAACGAGGCACCGTTTCAAATGACGTGAATCGGTGCTCAGTCGGTACTATGGAATTCGGTCGGTGCCTTAAAAAGTACCGCGTGAATCGGTGCTCAGTCGGTACTATGGAATTCGGTCGGTGCCTTAAAAAGTACCGCGTGAATCGGTGCTCAGTCGGTACTATGGAATTCGGTCGGTGCCTTAAAAAGTACCGAATTCGGTACCCATCGCTAATGACACATGAGGATTTGTTTTTGTTTATTTTAAAGCGTAACTTAGTGACTTAGCAGATTCCTCACATCCCTCTCTGCTGTGCTTCAGCTGCACCTCTAAATATTTGCAGAAGAGCCAGTTTTATATATGCAGCAGCCTTGTAACCATGGATACTGTAGGAGTAGTTCTGATTGACACTAGTTAGAGACTCCTACTGGCTCTTAGTGCTGTGTATTGGAGTTCCTGGTAATTAAAACACATTTTTTCATACCAAGGTTTAGGTTCTTTGTCAGTGTGATCACATAATTAAACTTTTTATGATACAGCATAAAATAAACCACAAATGTTGGATTTGTTTTTGGTTTTTGGCCATTTTAATATCACCGTTTGGCTCCTGGGAGCTCCGTAGGCCAAGAAATAAAGGCAAATAGGAGAATTATTGTGTTCTTTCAATCACAGTTTCAGTTTAGTTAAAAAAAACCAATGAACAGGCTTTAGTTGAATAGTTTTTAGTTTTTATGTTTGACTTTGTTTTTTGGGCCTTTCTAGGGTCATGTGTTCTGAGTCCTGTAGTTGCTGCTCTTAATCTCGATGGAAAACAGAAATCTGTAGCAATAAGGAAAATAACTGCTTAGGATGTGACAATTCATCTTTTTTCTTTTCAGGTATTGACCTGGAAAACATTGTCTACTACAAGGATGACACGCATTACTTTGTGATGACTGCCAAAAAACAGAGCCTGCTGGAGAAAGGAGTCATTCTGCATGTGAGTGATCAAAGCACAGAGGGGTGCTTCTCTCTGCACGTGTTGAGTTCTCATTCTGTTTCTCTGTGGCAGATCTTCTTAAATAACACTATTAGAAGTATGTCACGTTTTTTTCTTTTCCTCTAACTCTCCTTTAGTGTTTCAGCTTTTTATTCTCTTAGCCCGGCATTAGCCTAATGGTCGAACCGAGCCAACAGGGTTCAGGAACTTGCTGCCAACTCAAGCTCTCACTGAGAGTTTGTGTCCACTGGCATTTCCCGGGGCATTTTCCACAGGAAACAGGAAAGGCCTTTTTAAATGTCAGTCTTCATGCGCAGGCATTAATGAAGGTGTGCTTTGGTACCTTACATTTGTTTTTGAGCAGTTTTTGCTGTAAAATCTTAGGACCAAGCTGGACAGATCCTCCTAACACAGGAGTGGGGAACCGTGGTCCTCGAGGGCCGGTATCCTGCATGTCTTTGCTCCAACCCTTCTGATTCAGTGGTTGATTCACATGTTCTGCAGCTTTTCAGGCTTTGCAGAAGTTTGTTAATCACCTGCTGATTGAAATCAGGTGGGATGATGCAGGGTTGAAACTAAAATATGCTGGATAGCGTCCCTTGATGGACCGGGGTACCCCACCCCTGCTCTAACAGGTAGGGGAAAAAAACGTCAGGAGAAGGAATAGAGGAAGGTTGGAAGGGTGAGCTTAAAGGGACATTATGGACGTTTGACAGCCAAAACATGTCTAGAAATAATAAATGTCTTCTTCATACATTCTCCTGCAATGCCCTGGTCCTGTAGAATGAGCCCTGGCATTTTTACTGTGATTGCCTGTTTTTCTGTAAAATCACAGAAAAAGAGAGATGCTCGGGTCGAGCAGGCTGCTTCATGCGCGTTCACGCTCAGGCATCGCCCGTAGCATTTGCTATCCGTAGCTTTAGCAGCAGAGAGAGAGGCAGTGCCACTTTGCCGCTGTTCCTAACGCCTAGTGACAAAGCTAGCTACATTTCTGAGGACCCTTAGCTACTTTCTGTAGAACTTTCTTCTAGATATTTCCTGCAAATTAGCAACAAAATAGCCATTTTTGCTCCGAACCGTTCTTTGGATTGATGTTGTTTCAGCTGTCATCAAGGATATAAATATTACAGATACATCAAATGTTACTGGCACTTTAGCTCACCTAGTAAGATGTCTGACTCTCATGCAGAAGACCTGGGTTTGATTCTGGGTGTGAACATAGTTTTAGAGTTTCTTTTTTACATTAATGGTATATTTTTTTTACAGTAAGATGCCCACATTTTTATTTGAGACTCGCCGAACGGCATTGAATTCACAGATAAAAAAGATGTGGGTTCAACTTTCATTTTGGAACAATTTTTCAAGCAAGGGAAGGGAATGATCTGAGCATGCATATCCAAACACATCACGAGTCTTTGATCATGCATTTTTTTATTTGCATGCAAAGATCATGTGTGTGAAAGGATCTGTTTTGGGATCCTACTTCCTGTTTCTTTTCTTGTAGGACTATGCAGACACGGAGCTCCTCCTGTCCAGAGCTAACGTGGACCAGGCTGCCTTGCTGTCTTACGCTCGCGAAGCTGCAGATTTCTCCACGAACCACCAGCTCCCCACACTGGACTTCGCCATCAACCATTACGGTCAGCCCGATGTAGCCATGTTCGACTTCACCTGCATGTACGCCTCGGAGAACGCCGCCATGGTACGACAACGCGGCGGCCACACGCTGCTGGTGGCGCTCGTAGGCGACAGCTTGCTGGAGGTGAACACTATTACAAGTGTTATTTTTTGGGGGTTTTTTGCACATCAGTCCTGGTCTTTATCTCTTTTTTCGTGGCTGCGGCCATATTTGGTTGATGAATGCGACGTTGGCTGTTGTCTGCAGCCGTTCTGGCCCATGGGCACCGGCATCGCTCGAGGTTTCCTGGCAGCCATGGACTCGGGGTGGATGGTGAAAAGCTGGGCCCAAGGGAAAACTCCTCTAGAGGTTCTAGCTGAGAGGTGAGAATGTGGAAACATTGATACACACACACACACACACACACACACACACACACACACACACACACACACACACACACACATACACACACACACACACACACACACACACACACACACACACGCACGCACTCTTATTTACACACTCATGCACAGTCACACCCTTTTATCACTAAGTGCTTTACTAGGAATTGTGTCTATATGCGATTTAAAGCTTCAGTCCCACCTCTCCTAGTACTAATGGGATAAGAGGCTCTCAAAAGGCCTGAAAGGGATCACGTGACTCCATAGTTGTTAGAGTCTTGGTAATATTTGGGTTTATTTAGCCTTTGTCTGTCTTGGGCAGATATTTTAATCTGCAACTGTGTTTTAGGGAGAGCATATACCGACTTCTGCCTCAGACAACGCCGGAAAATGTCAGTAAGAACTTCAGCCAGTACAGTCTGGATCCTACCACACGTTACCCAAACATCAGCCTCAACTTCCTCAGGCCCAGTCAGGTGAGGATGAGTGGTCTGGAGATAGTTTTCATGCCTGCTGCAAACGCGTCTCTCTCCATGCTGGTGGCATCCTGTTTTTATTTCTGCTATAATTCTTTGTTTTTAAATTAGTTTGATGCTTAAAATCTCTCTGGACTCTCATTTGCGGTAATCATGTCGATGTTGCAGGTACGCCACCTCGTTGACACGGGGGAGTGCAGGGAAATGCGCATTGACATTGAGAATGTGATCAGCTTGTCTACGCCGAAGTTGACCAGGAATGGTTTGTATCTTTCCACTTTTTATTTAGGAAAGTAAAGGCAGGCCATAGGTCAGATACTGGTTTAGACCCTAAAACCCATTTATCTAAAAAATATAATAAAATCCCTACAAATAGGTGTGAGAGGAAATTAATTATCAGCGGGGGAAACTTCAAGGAAGATGTAAATATCGTAAATCATGTTATGGGCTCGACACACGGGAGGCGACATCGCCTCTCCATTCATTTTCAATGAGACATGCGCGACAAAGCGATTATCGCGGGTCTCCCTCCTACCAAGCGAAACGCGAAAAACGTGCGTGTGAAATTTTGCGCTCGTGCACGTGTCATGCACAGGCGACCCAGCGACGCGATCCCAGAAAGTTGAAACATTTTCAACTTTTCATCGCTGTCGCTCGGACGAGGACCAATCAACGGAGGTTTCATTCACTGACCAATGAGTGGACAGGATGCTCCGCACATCTCCGAGCAAACATGGAGGAGAAGTTGATTATTATTATGTTTTATAAAGTAAAATCACAAGTAAGATTTCACATAACTCTAGCAGCACCTTGTGAAACATCATATGTATCGCTTTATTAACTCTGAACCGCTTAAATAACCTTAATTCCCTCCAACCTGACACAGCCAAACAAAACAACGGAAGTTTCGATTTCGCCATGGAACAGAACGCGTAGACGGCTTTGCCGCTGGCCGCGGATCGCCTCCCGTGTGTCGGGTAATAAAAGCGACGGCGACAAATTTCGCTGATCGCGGTCGTTAGTCGCCTCCCGTGTGTCGAGCCCATCAGACGTTTTACTAAAAGAAAAACTCTTCAGATGAAGGAATAATCTGAAATAACCAATAATCTACCTTTAAACTGCCCGTGGATTCAGTTGACCTACACTCAAATAGTTCGTTTTACAATTTCAGGTTCTGGTAAAAGTGCTTGAAATCCTTGAA